TAAAACAAGTTCATCTGAATAAGTTGGCCGCCTTTGAATTTTGGTGTTACAGAAGAATCCTACGAATATCATGGATTCAAAGAATGTCAAACATGGAAGTAACTAGAAGGATAGGAAATGAGGCGGAAATAATATTAACTATTAAAAGACGAAAACTTGAGTACTTGGGACATGTGATGAGAGGGCAAAAATACGCATTATTACAACTTATTATGCAGGGCAAAATCCGAGGAAAGCGAAATGTGGGAAGACGAAGAATATCCTGGCTTAAGAACTTAAGGAAATGGTTTGAATGCAGTAGTGCAGAACTTTTTAGAGCGGCAGTCAATAGAGTCCGCATAGCCATGATGATTTCCAACCTTCGATAGAAGATGGAACTTAAAGAAGAAGAACTAGTCAAATCGCAGTCGTTCAGTAAAAATGGCGAAATTTCATGCAAATGAGGATGAGATATTGGTGGAAGAAGTTCAGACATATCCCTCGATTTTTGATTACGAATATGAAAACTATAAAAATATTATAATCAAAGAGCATGCGTGGAAAAAGGTAGCATGTTCAGTTGGAAAATAAATATATCGTGTTTCTCACATGGTACTTTCTGTAATAATTCCCGTTGTAGCCATTTTTCTTCCTCCTCTTCTTCTAAGAGAATTATACTTAAAAGCTCAATTTTATTCATTTTGTCGGCATCAGTCAGCTACACGACTTAAACCATGCACCTTTTTGATATCTTTATCATACAAGATCTTTTAATCTAATCCAAATCACAATCGCATAAAATTAGAAACGCACAAAATAAAACACTCTATATTGCGGCTGCGACTGCAGTCAATCGCAGTCGTAAGCCGCAGCCGCTCGAGCCGCACGAACGAAACCGTACCTACCGTACCATACCGTACATACAATTAAGGTTAGGCACGCACATACACGCACACACACATACACTCTGCATTCAATACTCGCTGTCAAGTACATACAAATTTCAAAGACATTATCCTATCACTCATTTTTACAACATCGTTTTTTAAAATTTTTGAATCATTAATTTACTTTTGTTTCAGTACAATGAAATGTGTTAGTTACCAAGTAGATGAGACAAAAGAAAAAGAATACCAATGGTTTGATATTCCCAATTTTTAATTCATTAGAATTTTTTGTATAAAATTATTAAATAAAAATATTTAATTTAGCCTTAATTTCATTTGAAATACAGTGTGGAATAAGTCTTCTTTTTCTAATGGCGCTACAACCCTTTGTGAGCATTGGCCTGTTTAACAATGTTCTTCCATTCCGCCATGTCGAACACTTTCCTTCACCACTGCCTGATGTTTATGGTTTTATGATCCCTCTTTACGTCGTCTATCCATCTTTTACGTGGCCTTCCTCTTGTTCTGTTTCCTAGAGGCTTCCATCTCTGGACTACTTTTACAGTGTGTTTATTTGGCATTCTTTCTAGGTAACCAAGCCAGTTTAGTCTTTGTTACTTTACAAATCTAACAATAACTGCGCTCTGCACTAGTTCATCCAGCTCGTGGTTCATTTTAATTCTCCACGAACTATCGTTGCATTGGATTGGTCCAAATATCTTCCTTAGTATTTTGCGCTCAAATATTCTAAGTTGATTTTCATTAGTGGTTGAGAGGGTCCACGTTTCACATCCATATGTGGTCACTGGTCTAATTACTGTTTTGTATGCATGAAAGAAGACCAAAGTTAAACCGAACTAGGAAACTACGGCTATGGAGAAAGAAATGAAAGACAGACCATGCTTGTAGACTTTTTACACCAAGAAAATCTTTTTTCTATGAACTCATTCTTTCAAAAAAAGCCCCAACGAAAGTGGACGTGGAAAAGTCCAGACGGTTTCACAAAGAACGAAATAGATTTTATCATTGCTAATAAAAAAGAAATTATACAATATGTATCTGTTCTAAACATATTTACAATTGGAAGCGATCACATATTGATTCGAGCAAAAATTCTGTTCAATTTAAAGAATGAACGAACAAAAATGATAAAATCAGACAATCGTAAATGGACCCGTAAATCATTGACCATAACCTTTAACAAATCAACGACGAAACACAGGTGGAAGTTTTAAACGAAAGTATCGTAAAAGCCCTTAAAGAAGCGGAGAAGTTGTGCTGTCCTAAAATGAAGAAAAAACATGAGAAAATAAGGCTCAACACTAAAAATCTGATCGAAGAAAGAAGGAGGCTAAAGGACAGGTATAACACAAACTACGCAGAATTTAGTCAACTCAGTAAAACAATAAACAAAGAAATCCGAAAAGACATACGGCAACATAATATGAGAGAGGTGACAAGGGTGATAGAGAAAAATAGAAGTCTGAAAATTCTAAGACACAACATGTCCACAGGAAAAAAGAACATACATAAGTTAAGAAATAAACAAGACGACATTGTGACTGATAAGGAAGAAATAGTGAAAACAGTGGAAGACTTCTACAGACAACTATATGAACCAAGTGAATCCGATGAAAGACGCCCCTTACCAAAGATAGAGAATCAAGGCTCAGAATTAATGCCGAATATAACTGTTGACGAAATTAAAAATGCACTTCGGGTGATGAAGAATAATAAATCCCCAGGTGAAGACAGGGTAATGACCGAAAGCCTAAAACTAGGAGGAAATAAGCTCTTACTGACACTTGCTAAACTGTTCAATAAATGTCTGTGCGAAGCAATAACACCGACGCAGTGGAACAACGTGGAAATCATCTTACTTCATAAGAAGGGAGATATCAGCGACCTTAGAAACTACCGCCCCATTAGCTTGTTGTCACAAGTATATAAGATATTTACAAGAGTTATTATCAACAGGCTAGGAAATAAGTTGGATTTTTATCAGCCAAGAGAGCAAGCAGGTTTTAGAGCAGGATATGGCACGAATGATCGTTTACAAGTTGTTAAGAACTTAATAGAAAAGAGTGTTGAATATAAAAAGCCATTAGTCATAATATTTGTTGACTACGAAAAAGCTTTCGACACAATAAGTCATCAAAATATGTTAAAAGCCTTAACAGAGTGCTATATAGATCATCGCTATATAAACATGATAAAATACATCTATCAAAATGGGACAGCAAGCGTGAAACTGGCAGATAAAAAGACCAACGTATTTAAAACAAAACGGAGACTGCGACAGGGAGACACAATTTCGCCGAAATTGTTTACAACATTATTAGAGCATATGTTTAAGAAAGCAAATCTGAGTGAAAAAGGAATTAATGTCAATGGAGAAATGCTTAGTCATTTGAGGTTTGCTGACGATATTGTCCTTTTTGCTGACAGAATCGATGATGCAGTATCGCAACTGGAGAAACTATACCTAGCCTCCCTACAAGTTGGATTAAAAATCAACCACACAAAAACACAAATCATGACAAATCTTGTGTTAAGCGAAAAGATTTCAGTAAATGGCATGCATATTGAAGAAACCACCTCTTATAAGTACTTAGGACATGAGATACGCATAGGAAGAGATAATCAAACGTGCGAACTAAGCCGCCGCATAGGACTCACTTGGGTGGCATTCGGCAAGCTGAGCTATGTTCTTAAATCAAAACTGCCTATGTGTCTTAAAAGAAAACTCTTTAATCAGTGCGTGTTGCCAGTACTTACATATGGTGCAGAGACATTAACACTAACCAAGAAAGTAAGAAATAAAATTTATGTTACCCAAAGAGCCATGGAACGATCGATGTTAGGCATTTCTCGTAGGGATCGGATCACGAACAAGGAAATAAGACAGATAACAGGAGTGACAGATGCCATAGAAAGAATTATGACCCTTAAGTGGAACTGGACGGGGCACATAGCTAGAATGTCGGATAACAGATGGACACAGCGAATAATACAGTGGAGACCGAGACAAGAAGCACATCGAAGTAGAGGTCGTCCACCAACAAGATGGTCTGATGACATAAAACGGATCGACAAAAATTTTATGCAAACAGCACAGAACAGAAATACATGGAAAAGACTGAGGGAGACCTATATCCAGCAGTGGATAAATCCGGGTTAAATAATGATGATGATGATGCATGAAAGCACTTATTACCGCTAAGAATCCGTGCTTGTATTTCTTGACTGATGTTTGTTATTTATTATTGAGCCTAGGTAGGGAAAAGTGGAGGCATATTTGTAGTTATGGTTGTCTATCTTCAGATTCTCATGTTGATTCGATTTTGTGCACTCCATATATTTTGTTTTGCTTTCATTTATATATAGACCAAACATAGCAGCTTCTCGTTTCAGTTCTATCACTTTTTCGCTTAATAGGTACCCTTTTGTTGCGGATTATTATAGCAATATCATCCGTATATGCGCATATTTGCATTGCTCTTGTATTATTACAGCCGTTTATACCCAGTTTTCTAATAACAGCTTCTAAAGTTAGATTAAAAAGTTTTGCTGATAAGATTAGATCACCTTGTCTAACTCCATTTTCAATATCAAAGGCCTGCGTCATATCTCCATCTATTCTCACCATAGCTTTGGAACCCTCCAGAGTCACTCGTATAAGTTTAACCAACTTATTGAGGATCCACAACATTATAGTGTAGAATAAGTAATAACAAAAAAAAACAACTGGTTCATAATAAAACTTGATATTAAACGCAATTCATTCAACGATAGGCTTTTACTTCAAGAGTTTTGGCACGGACGGACAAAAGCACAATTTTTAGAAAAACTTGATGGATTTCCTGGGAACCTTGGACAATTCGATATTATGTTCAGTTACAAAAGATACCACTATCTAAATTCCCACGTTTATAACAGTCAATTTTTATGTATATCACACTAGCTGACGTTTGTAAATTATATAGAAGATTCCCACTTAACATAAGTTGTCCCTCGAATATTTACTGGAGCAAAACAGAGATAAATCTAATTAACATGTAAACTACAAAAAACGTATTTATATATACAGTGTTCAATGTTATTTCGTTGAAACATAACTCGAACCTTAAAAAAATGAAGTTTGCTGTATGTAAATTTATCGTTCTAGCTGCTTTCCTTGATAGATCCTATGGATTTTTTGGAATAAATATTAATAGACTTATAGGTGACGTGGACAAGATTTTTCCTAGTTTACTAATTTTTCCTGGTGAGTTTGTAACACTTATCTTGCTTTATAAATTATCATATTGATCATTGTCATCCACACCATCTGCATCAGATTCATCGCGACCTTGATCCTGACTTTGAACTTGTTTCTTCCACAAGGTTGGTTGCCTTGTTGAACCATTCCTTTTACTTTACTTATAGTATCTATTAATAAACCTGGATGCTAAATATTGAATTCTTTGTTTTCGTATATTAAAAATTCAGATTTTAGTCCTTGTTTTCTATTTTCTGAATAGGTATTGTATCTTTATAATACGTAGGATTTCAGCAGCATATGTTACACTTAAATATGCATCTCTTATTTATCACCTTTGTTTAATTTAGGATTTTCCTCGATAGTTGCGGCTACTGAGCACTGGCTTGTAGTCAACGAGTTTTTTTTGTAGAAAAATATACCATAATTGCTAGGTATGATCGTCTAATTTCAGCTCATTGTGGCACCCTAATTCTTTCTATAAATAATGATTTCTCTCCGATAACAAAATATGACTTCTGTTAAATGAATCCTTTTTTGAGTTTTCATTGGTTTATAACAAGAGTCTTAATCTATACTTTTTTTGCATTTGTAGATCACTTGATTACTTACGGAACTATTTTTTCAAAATCTGTTAAATTTGTTAGACTACCTGCCCAATAAAAGCAGAAAGATTCTATGCGGTGACTTGAATATTAATTACGCTGTTGCTTGGCTACCCAATTATCCTTGGTCAATATATTCAAATCGTATGGTTTCACAATGCAAGTTAATTCTTCTACAAGAATTACTAACACAACATCTACTTTCTTCTTCTTCTTAACGTGCCCTATCAAGTCCCCTTGACGTTGGCGATTAACATGGCGAAACTGTCTCTGTCTCGAGCTATTCTAAAGAGTAGCTCAGCTTTCCTTATTCCTGTCCATTCCCTGATATTCTTCAACCAAGAGGCCTGCTTTCTACCAATTCCTCTGCGTCCTTCGATTTTACCCATCATAATAAGTTGAAGAATATTATATCGGTCTCCCCTTACTACGTGTCCAAAATAGGCCATCTTTCTACATTTGATGTTATCAAGCAGCTCGCGAGCAGCATTTGATCTCTCAAGGACTGCCACATTTGTCAGCATAGCCGTCCATGGAATTTTTAGTATACGTCTGTGCAGCCACATTTCAAAGGCCTCCAGACGATTAATGGTGGATATTTTTAATGTCCATGCTTCGACACCGTATAAGAGGACTGACCAAATGTAGCATTTAACCATGCGCTTTCGAAGTTGAAGTTGCAAGTTATCATTACAGAAGAATGACCTCATTTTTAAAAATGTCGTGCAGGCTATCTCGATTCTACATTTTATCTCTTGATCTGGATCTAGTTCAGTAATATGGCAACCAAGATAATTAAAACTGGATACTCTTTCAATTATAAGACCATCAATATATAATCGTGCATCTTGTTGTGCTAAACGGCTAAACACCATGTGTTTTGTTTTTGAACAGTTTATGTTTAGGCCAAACTCTCTTCCCACTGTATGAAGTAGTCCATTCATGTCATCACTTAAAATAACTGTATCGTCTGCATATCTGATTGTATTTATCAGAATTCCATTAAATTTCACGCCCCATTCCAAATTATGCAGCGCTTCTTTAAATATTCTATCTGAATATAAATTAAATAACAGTGGGGATAGTATACAACCCGGTCTTGACACTTCTTTGTATTTTACATATTTCTGTTGATTTTCCGTTTATGCAAGCTATCGCTGTTTGACGCCAGTATAACTTATCTATGAATCGTATGTCTTCACTATAAACTAATTTAATCTTTTAATCTCGTAATTAATTTGTGATGCTGTACTCGATCAACTTTGCAACTTTACAACTTTGCTAGAATACGCTTGTAAAACAATAGATTGGAACGAAAAGGGCATCAATGTAGATGGAAAATTTTTAAATAACCTTAAATTTGCAGATGATATCGTTCTTATTGCAGACAGCTTTGATCAGGCACAGATAATGCTCCAAGAACTCCATACTGCCACAAAAAGAGTTGGTCTTAAAATAAATTTTTCAAAAACACAATTTATGACAAATTTAGTCCACAACAAAAACATCTCAGTAGAAGACAAAGATATTGAGCCAGTTGACTCCTATAAATACTTAGGCCATGAGATCAGAATAAGTCGAGACAACCAAACAATCGAGCTGAAAAGAAGAATAAACCTCGCTTGGGCTGCATTTGGAAGGATGAAGGATATTTTTAGGTCTAAGATTCCAATGTGTCTGAAAAGAAAAGTATTTAATCAATGTATTTTGCCAGTGATGACCTACGGCGCAGAAACCCTAACGCTCACAAGAACAACAGTGAGTAAACTACAAGTTGCGGAAAGAGCAATGGAGAGAATTATGTTAGGGATTTCTCTACGTGATAGAATACCCAATGCTACTATACGCAAAATATCAGGAGTAGCAGACGTTATTGAAAGGATAACAACACTAAAGTGGAACTGGGCAGGTCATGTAGCAAGATCAGTTAATGACCGGTGGACAAAAAGAATTTTGGAATGGAGACCCCGAATTACAAGCATACAGAAATAGAGGTCGACCCCCAACGAGATGGACAGATGACATAAAAAGAGTGACTACAAATTGGATTCAGATGGCGCAAAATCGGACTAAGTGGAAGAGCATGCGAGAGGCCTATGTTCAGCAGTGGACGTTAGAGGCTAGTTGATGATGACTCGATCAAAGGCCTTTTCATAGTCAATAAATACAGCAAAGACGTCTTTCTTTGATCTCGACATTTCTGTAGTAATACATTTAGTGCAAAGAGGGCGTCCCGAGTTCCAGTCCATTTCTGAAGCCAAATTGTGTTTCATCCTGGTCTTCTTCACATTTAATGATTCTACTGTGGATGATGCGTAGAAATATTTTCAAAGTGTGGCTCATAAAGCTTATCATTCTATAATCGCTACAGTTTTTCGTGCATTGTTTTTTTGGTAGTGTTATGAATTTGGACTTTCACCAATCTTCAGGAATATCACCAGTCGAATAAACATCATTGAAAAGCTTGACCAGTATTCCAATGTTCTCCTCATTTATAAGCTTTAACATCTCTGTCGGTATGTTATCAGGGCCAACGGCTTTCTTGTGCTTTGCTAACTTTATAGCATGCAGTATTTCTGATTTTAGTATTTCTGGTCCTTCACCTTCAACTAAAGTCTCCAGTTCTTCGGGCCTATCATCATTATATAGTTCACTTATATAATTACACCAGGTTGTTCGAATTTCATGTTCGTCTATTATCATTTTTCCCGACGAATCGGTTTTAGTATGTGGAGTTTTCTTATGATAAAGACCAGCTACTTCTCTAACTTTTTTAAAAATATTAAACGCATCATGTTTTTCATTCAACTTTTCTATTTCCTTGCATTTATCCTCCATCCATTTTTCTTTAGCCACCTTTATTTTTTATTTAATTGGTTTCTGTTTTTCCTTATATTCTGTCTTGTTACCTTTCAGTTTCCTTCTCTGCTCCATTAATTCCAGGATTTCATCAGTCATCCATTGTTGTTTTTTGTGCCTGTGTAACGTTGTTGAATATTTTTCTATTACTTTCAAGGTAAGATCTTTTAATGTGTTCCATATTTCTGTATTGTTTTCATTTATTGGTTTCTTTAGCTCATTGTTTAAGTCATTTTCTACTAACGTTTTGTTAGATATTGAGATATTTAATTTTGGTGTTTTGGGGCTTTCTTGGACTTTTTTGAGCTTCACTTTGATGTCAGTTATTACAGGGTTATGGTCTGAACCGATATCTGCACCAGGATATGTCGTTACTCTGGTGACATCTACCATAATTGATTATATTATCTCAGGTTTCTCACTCCTTGATATACGCTCTACAAATTAATGCATCAAGCTAACAAATTATCTGATTATAAAGCAGTATATATATACCAAGTTTAACACTCTTAACAAACAATCCTCGTAATCCAAACATTTAGGTAGGAAATCCAAAAATTTGTGATTGACTGCTAGTTGGCACTTTCCTTCTGAGGACGTGAACTATAATTTCAGTGATTTTTTATACAGGCTTGTCTGTATTTCCAATAAAGCATTTTCTTTAATTACAATTAAGTCAAAACATCACAAACCCTGAAATACCAAAGGTATTCGCATATCAGCCAAGAATATGTGTTCACTACTGTACATCAAGAATTTTACTACCAATGTCTTTGTCACTGAATATATCTCCACGTACAGAGGAACCCATCTAAAACTTATCAAAACAGCCAAAAAATGTACTATCAGAATCATCTCGGAAGCTCTAAAAATGTTGCAACAGAAGCTTGGTCCACAATGAACAATTTTCGAAATAAAACTAACACAGCTCAAACATTTTCTCTTTTGCAAACCCTGAAAACCTAAATGAATACTTCGTTAATGTGAGTAAAAATATAACATAAACTATTTTGCCACAAAATCCTAATGCAAATCCTCTTGTAGTACTGATGGACTATCCATAAAAAATTGCTTAAATCTTCCAAAAAATATGTTGGAAGTCCAGGTCTCACTAATTAACCATTTCTTTAAAAGAGGTATATTTCCAGAGTACCTAAAGACAGCCTTTATTATTTCTTTTCATAAAGGTGCTAAAAAATCTAATGTCAAAATTATTGACAGATTTATAAGATCCCACGATATTTTGATAAAAAAAACTAAATTTCTACGGAATTCAAATTATTTCTTTGAAATGGTTCCAATTTTACTTGAGGAATAGGAAAAACTAGTTAGAGCAAATGATGCTGACTCTAGTCACAAAAGCATTGTATGTGGAGTACCACAAGGTTCGGTACTGGGTCCTATACTTTTCCTTATCTTCATAAATGACATCACTAACTTAAAAATCGATGGAAAACATTTATTACTGGTTCCTCCAGTATTACCTAGAGGAACTATAATATTGCAACTCTTCATGCAATTATAACTTCTGATCTACTTAATATAAAAACCTGGTCCGACTCTAATTTACTTTCTTTTAACATAGATAAGACAGTAGCAATATCCTATAAAGGAACTCTTCAACCCTTGCTTCTTAATAACAGCCAGATCATTATCGTTAATTCTGTAAAAGTTCTTGGTATTTTTATAGACAGCAACCTTAAATGGTCCTTCATATCGATTTCTTAAGTAAGAAACTAACCTCAGCTTGCTATGCAATAAGATCTGATTCGAAGGAAATCAATTTAGCAACTTCCAAAACAACATTATTTTTCTTTGTTCGAGTCTCATCTTCGATATTGCCTTTCTTTTTGGGGTCTAGTACAGCTGCCCAATCTGATGTTATGTTTAGATTACAAAAAAGAGCAATACGGTTTTTTTTAGCCTCAGTAGAATATCATATTACAGAAGCTACTTTAGAAATCACAGGATTTAAACTCTTCCCTCTTTATATATTTTAGAAACTGTTAACTTAATTTGTAAACACCTACATGTTTTTCCAGCAAGACATCAGCCGTTTTGAGTCTACTGCTGGACATAGGCCTCCCGTAAATAATTCCAATGGATTCTATCTTGAGCACCCTGAACCCAGTTGTGCTGAATGCGCTTGATGTCATCTGACGACCTTGTTGGGGAACGTCCCAACTTCTCCATTCCAGAATTTTCTTCGTCCACCTTCCATCTTTTAATCTGGCAACATGCCCCGCCCAGTTCCATTTCAATGTTGTAATCCTTTGAACTGCGTCAGTAACACCAGTTTTTCTCCTTACTATTGTATTTGATACTCTGTCTCTGAGGGATATATTCAGTATTGACCTTTCCATCGCTCTCTGTGCCACTTGTATATTATTGATTACTTTTCTGGTAAGGGTCAATGTTTCTGCTCCATACGTTAGAACTGGAAGTACACATTGATCAAAAACCTTTATTTTCAAGCATATGGAAATATCTGATCTAAAGACTTCTCTCAGTTTTCCGTAAGCCGCTCATGCCAGTCCTACTCTCCTGTTTAGCTCCGTTGTTTGATTATCTCTCCGCAATTTAATCTCGTGGCCCAGATATTTATAGCTATACACCTGTTCAATTTGCGTTGAATGTAATCATGACTACCCCACCAGAAATTCAAGCTTTGATGAGTATTTATCGATCCCGTCCACTGAGTTAGAAAAGAAATACAAAGAGAAGAAATATTCGGCAAAAAATTATAAAACCATCTCCCTTTGAAACTTAAATCTACAACTTCTTTCCTTAAAAATCCACTAGAAAACTAAGTTCCTGTAGCTGGCTGTATACCATATATCACAAAAAATTTATTTTAAATCCTTTATAAAAGGTATATAATAAAATGCCCAAACGGGCTATCACAAATATATTACAAAACGTTTTCGGATTCTTAAATCCATCATCGGTGTAAACGAGGTATACATGCTATGAGCCACCAAAATATATGGGTCAAAATCCTTTAAATGATATAAATTTACAGTTGTTTTACATTATATGTGGTTACAAATTATGATGTTTGAGTTACCGTTGGAATTGGTAACATGGCGACGTATGACCCTACATAGGTAAAAAGGTCCTGAGACGAAGTGTCTTCGAGGACCTGTTGATAACAACTGATCAAAATGACATTGTTGACATGTTAGAACATGTCAACAATGGTTGACAATTAGGTAAAACAATTATAATATTAATTTTATTCGTCATCAACTACATCTTCATCGTGATCTATGTCATCCTCATCTTCTTCAATTATTGGTGGACTATTATTGCACCCTTCACCTGAGCACCCAGAACAAGTAGAGTTACAGTATAAACCAACTTTTCTGCACCCACATGAAACGCCGCATCCTTTTTTGCATTGGCAAAAAATAATTTTCAAAAGTTCATCGGGTGCAGGTTGTTTGTTCATGCGTACGGGTAATAACAAACCATCTTTGGAATACCATCCCCAATCTGTTGCTCTGATATTTTCATTGCCAAGCCATAGACATATGAGCAGATGTTTTATTCTGTTGTATGGGATTTCAAAATAAGAACGCTTAAAATTTCGAATGTATAACGCCCCACTACCTAATATACTGGTTTTGTAGATTATTATGCTCCGAAATGTATTGTACTATTCTAATGGAATTTTCCGGAAAAAAAATTAATTGGTTTTTTTAACGTATTTCCTTCATTTTTAACGATAGAGTGTTTCTTCAAAAACGATTTTGTAGAGGTTTTTAAGAGCTACAAGGATCTGTGAATTAAATCTTTTTGGAACATTTGGTTTTTAAATCGGGTGAGTTTAAAGGACTCGAAAAAGATGGTGCTTGATCGTAAATCGATGCTTTAAACGGCTATATCTCGATAAATATTCATTGTACAACAAATCTTAATAAAGGAAAATTTTAGTCATTAAAAAAGCTACAATTTAGTACATTTTTATTTTTTTCATATATTTAGTATTTTCGGGGATATTTAAAAAAAGAAGGGTAAAAAATATGAAATTGTAAATCGTTTCTCGCTTTATGCTTTACTTTTTCTAAAACTAAGCATTTTAAATGAGTCAAACTTCTTGGACGTATTAACAATACATGTACAAAGTGAATTGCAGAAGGTTGAAGATCGATTTTAATTATGAGGCTGGTTAGGGGGTTGTTTCATCGATTTTTTCGTAAAAAAATGACGTATTGACCTTATTTTCATCATAACTCACTCAATTTTTGAGCTAGAGTCTTTTTTTATGATAGATCTATTTATGCTCTTTAAAACAGGTTGTGTGAGTTTTCTTTCAAAAATGCATCATTTTCCCGATATTTGACTTTGAATCTTTCAAATTTGGCATTTGAAGAAAACCGCTGAACATTGATAGGCCGTATTTCGGTTCCTGTTATATCGCAAAAACATTTTAAAAAATGAATTGTATTTGTCTTTTTAAAAGCTGCAAATTTGTTTTTCTACAATTTTTTTGATAAAATGCACCATTTTCGAGTTATTCGCGAAAAATCGATTAAAAACGTCGATTATTTTCGTCTAAAAGTTGTTACTTTCAATCGCGAATAACTTGAAAAATATCAGTTTTACTAAAAAAATTTATAGAACATTTTTTGTTTAGAATCACTTTTTTAATCGAAACCTGTTGTTAAAACGTAAAAAAAAATTTTCACCCCCAAGGCTTTGGAGCACTTTGGTTCGATATAGATTTTTATCCTTGGCTATTACCTACCTTCTGTTAAAATTTCAAGTCAATCCACGTAGGACGAAAAAATTGCGAGGTGAAATGCTTCATTTTCTGGACTATAATTGGTTTGACAGCATAATAAAATCATAGATTTATGTGTAGCTTTCAATTTTTATGATTTCAGAATCCAGCAGCCCGCTAAAGTATTGGATTTTTATAATATAATTATTTGACAATATTTTGTTGGTCAACCACCTACAGCAGAATTGAGCCGATATACATAATATTTCGTATGTTCCGAATTTATTTCGTTCAATCTGTATATGACATGGTAAAGTTAAATTTGTAACAAGTTTCTACTAAGCATTATTGTTGTTAGAGTTTAATATTACGGATTTGTTTTAGGTACTAAATGGTGTGGACCTGGAAATATAGCTATCAACGATAATGATTTTGGTACAGAAAATGCTACAGACGCATGCTGTCGAGAACACGATCATTGTCCCGATGTTATAGAAGGATTGGAAAGTAAATATAACTTGAACAATCCCGACTTTCATGCAAGGTACACGATCTTATCATATTTTTGTGATAGATAGAAATTTTTAGATGTGGACTTTTGGTTCGTATTTTTTTCTAGAACTTGACTATTGAGGTAGACTATTACCCCTGGGCTAATCCACTTGCGATTCTTTGTTCACATGATATTTTACTGATATATAGAAAAGTCACCTAATATTACAGCAGCGTACCTATCCATTGTTAACCAGCTTATTGGAAGAAATAAATTCAAAGTAGTAAATACATTCCTCATCCTCTTCTTCTTAATCTACGTCATTTTTAGAATCAACAAATGGTATTTCTTGCTCAGACTGATGAAACTGAATAAATGACTTTTGTTTTCCTTTTATTTTTGGATTTATTTTTTTGCTTGAGTTCTTTGAGTAAATTAATGCCAGCGTTCATGTTTTCCTTTGTTTTCTTTAATTCTCTCCAAGCATTAGAGTCACTATCTTAATCCCACTTGCAGTTTTAGGCGATTGTGCTTCTTCAAGAGCTTTTTTATAAGGCGATCCAGTAATTAAAGCAGCTGCATCAGAGTTCTTTCGTTAAATTCCTGATGGGCCATAACAGGCAATGGCTTTAGGTCAGCTAGTTTTACAAAGTTGTTTATTTACCACTCGTGGTATTTATTCCACCAGTTTGTACAGAAACGTCTTAATAATGACAATTTGCTTTGGTTTCTCAATACTATTTGGAGATTTATTTTCATTGTTACTATTGCCATCAACAAGGGAAGCTTCTAACTTGTCATGAATTGCAAAATCTTGGTCAAGAAACAAATTTCCATCAAATGGTATATTGCCACATTTTCAAAAACCATGCATTGATGCCATCGAGCAAAAAGACAAAAGAGGGAATGTAAAGGTAGTGGGGGCAAAAATATTGTTAGACAGGAAGTGCGATCTTTAGAGGCCACATTAAACAAGGAAAGAGAGTCTCTCTCCTTGTTTGACATCAAATTTAGTTGGGTTATGTTAATGTTTGTCCCAAATGTCACATGAAATCTTATTTATATTGAAGTTTTTTAACAATTGTGTCGCATTTTAAACTATTATAGTTAATAATTAATTAAAACTTTCTCGTCTAAGACACATTCTGAAAAATATTATATAGCTACTGTTAATAAGTAGTGTCTGAAAATTTAAATTTGGCGCATTTGCATTTCCGGATATGTCCGCCATCAGAGGCCACTTTTTTGGTCTCCTTTTCATAAGGATTAGATTCCCTCTTTTGTCTTTTTGCTCGATGATTGATGCTGTCCTTGAATATGCTTTTCCAAACAAACCCTCAATCTGGTGCGAACAAAGTGTTCTTCCAGGAATATTTCTTAAATAGTTTTCGATATCTTGACAATAATATGTCTTTAAAGGTCCCATAAAGGCTACACCTAAAGGTTGCATCTTATGAGTTGAGTGTAGAGGTAGGTACATTATAATGATATTATTTTCTCGAGCCTTATTAATAACATCCAAGATTCTTGTGTGCGAATAAGTAGGATTGAATCCACCCAGAAGGATGGCATCTTCCAATTGCTCCAGAAGGGCCTCCATCCATCAATTCTGCTTTAAAATTTTTTCTCGGGAAGATCATCATTGACGGAATGTAATGCCCATTTGGATTCATACACATGACAACTGTCACAAGTGAACAGAGTTGTTTTTTCCCTTTTAAGCCTATAACTTTAGTATGCTTGTGTTGAACAGCTGTTATCCCGGACTCGTTAACATTATAAATCCTGCGTGGATTAAATTTTATCTTTTTTAGTTCTGGTTCCAGAATATCATAAAATTTCTTAAGATTTTCTTTAGTAAATCCTTTGATTCTAACAGCAGATACACCTTGTGGCGTTCGAAAAGAAATAGTCTTATTTTCTCATTTTTCCCCGCAGTAGCCTTAGAGTTAGAAAATGGATGTGGCAAATTGTTGGCCAAAACCAACTGAAAGGCTAAACGGCGAATATCTATAGACGTTAAACCATAAAACCTCCTTTCAAATTCGAAGTAGTATGCAACAAACTCTTTTTCTAATGCTTTGTGAAGCAATGGCTTACGACCTAGAGTTGATTTTTTGAGGCCTCTCGGTGGATTTTCTTTCTTATAATAATATTCTTATGTAACCTTCGGTACATCGTATGCTTTCGCTGCTTTTAAATATTCCATCACTTTATTCAGTATAGCCAAAAGTGCAGAACCCATGTTTGCTTTATTCCGTTGTTCCGTTATTCCGTTTCTTTTTTAGAGGAAATTCTGTAGCAAAAACATTCTTCAATATAGATTTTTATTTATTTATTTAGCGTATGGACTTTCACAGTACGATAAATATACAAATACAATAATATATACATATATATTAAATATATTATTTAAACACTAAAGATAAAATAAATGACACTAAATATTAATGTCCAATTTACATAGCCATTCAATTGCTTCTGGGGAACATTCCGCAAAGTCCTGGAGGTTTTCAGGGTAGGCACGATTCAAGCAGTATGAAACACAATGGCTTATGGCTTGTCTAGATTGTCCGCAATCGCACTGTGGACTTTCTGCACGACCCCACCTGAACAGCGAATCAGCACATTTACCATGTCCGGTACGTATACGATTAAGCCTTGCCCAAGTGGACCGGGGCAGATTTGATCCGATGAAACCCTGAGTTGGGGTGGATATCTTAATATAGTCCGATTTTACTGTTGGCATCCATCTTGTTGTCCATTGCCTATGTATATCATAGAAATTACCAATTTTTCGGGCAGATCGTATTGGAGGATTTCTAGATCTCAGTCGCTGGTGCTCTTTTGAGATGTCTGGGATATCTTGATGTATTGGTAATTGTACGTTGGCTACAATTTTCTGGTGACTTTTGAAGGTGAGTGTTCTATCAAGTGTGACGCCTAGATATTTGGGGTTGTTGTTATGTTTGATAGCTGTATCATTTAGAGTTACATTGAGATTATCGCCCGCAAGTTGATTCGACAGGTGAAAGAGACAGGTTTCAGTTTTGCTTGTGTTAGGACGTAAGCGCCAGTTCTTAAAATAGTTACTTAGTGTAGTTAAGTCCTCGTTTAGAGCTCGTTCTCTTGCTTCTTTACTATTATCTTGGAAGCCAATGGCCAGGTCGTCAGCATAAGCAAATTTTCTCGATTTTGTTTCAGGTATATCTGCTGTATAAAGGTTAAATAATAAAGGAGCTAGCACTGAGCCTTGAGGTAAGCCGTTGTTAAGTTTTCTAACGTTACTCTGTGCATCATTCATATATACCTGAAACAGTCTGTTAGTCAGTAGATTGTTTATCAGCTGACAAGTTTTGAGGCAAGGTATGATCTTCATCAGCTTATAAATAAGGCTCTCTCTCCACGCAGTGTCATAGGCAGCCGTGAGACGGTAGATGTATGAGTTTTCTCATATGGAGCTCGGGAGTTCTCAATTATTCTATTGACTATTTTATTTGGCTCAATTGTTGATTTGTTTAAGTGTTGCGCTCTGCTTGTTTCGACCAGTTTGCGGATCAGTCCCCATGCCTTTCGACTGGAACGTGAGAAATCAATATGTTCTACGGTAGACTTCCATTTATTAAGTCTTGTTGAGTCCAGTGACTTCAGTAAGTTGTCACCAATTTCGGATCTTCTGATTTCAAAAATTCGTCATATAGTTTTTGGCTTTCTTTCGTCCAGCTTGGGATGTACTGCTTTCGGAAACCTCGGGGGATATGTTTTTTGGCGATAGAGATAACCAGTCCTAAAAAACGGTGATAATTCTTGGCCTTTGCGTCAAGCGAATGCAGGTGACCAGCTCTTTGGTGAATTCGGGCCAATTTCCTTTGTTAAAATTCCAACGGGGTCTCGGACGTGGATTCAACGATAGGAATTTGTATGCCTAGTTCGATTATGATAGGTCGATGTTGGCTGTGAGGGAAACTGGGAAGTACAGTTCGAGAGCTTGGGAGTGGTTGCATCTATGAGTTAATGGAAACCCAGAATAGATCAGGGTTGTAGCCTTTGCGCCATCTTCTAGAAAAGAAGGTAGTTTTATCTTTTAGACTATGGATAAGGTGAATATTATTTTCTTCGGCCAATTCCAGTAGTTTCTTCCCATTTTCATCATTGTTTTCATATCCCCATTTGTTGTGGTGACTGTTAAAGTCCCCAATGTAAACTGTAGGTTGGTTGTCTACAGCTTTTATAAAATCTCCTGGCCATTTAGTTAATGGTGGTTTGTAGATGTTTTTTATGATTACGCCATTCACTTCTGTAGAGACTATGGACACATTATTTTTGCAGCTGCAGTCCGTCATCTTAGCATTTTGTATACTGTTATGCACGTAAGTTGCAATGCCATAAACATTGTTGTAAGTGGCTCCATGCTATATCCCGGAATTTTAGCCCTCTTAAAAACTCGGTTTCGATGGTGCGTGAGTTTCTTGAATGGTTATGACGTCAACATTATTTTCGATTAGTAGTTTTGAAAGAAATTCGGATTTTGATCTACTAATTCCTTCTATGTTTATTTGACATATACGGAGGGTAGGCCGGATACGTCTCGTCAAATGGTGTTGATAAACACCTTTCTAGTTTTCCATATTTAGTATATGGAGATTCCTGTTCTTATTTTTCTCTATCGTACTGGTTGCCAGGAGAGCTCAGCGTCTAGTTTGGCGTCCAAAAATTGATAGACCATTTAGCGTTACCCAGTACTTTACCCAGCGTTACCTAGTACAGTTACTTCAGTATAGATACATAAACACGTTACTTAGATATCAATATTGAGAATACTTCTACATGCAATATTAGGCACATTTTTAAATTGCTGGTTAGAATTTTTGCAAGATTAACAGACAAAGATTTCATTACTAAAACTACATAAATATGTCAAATTTTAACATGCATTACACCACCGATTAAAAACATTTAAAGGTATTACCATGTTTCAAATATTTTCAGCACTAAAAATAGGCAAACACAAAAAATTTAGGGATGTGCGTTTCAATAAATTTGCAAGTATGCTAAGATAGTTGATCTTAAATTCTACAACGACTT